TTTTAACATTTAGGAAGGAAACAGCTGGGGCTCTAGGAACCTGAAAGGGTAGCTTGGGATTTTGTGTCTAGCAGCAACCCTGCCCTAGCATTTAAAATATCAACATGAAATCTAAGACTTATTTGCAGACTGGGGCTACGTCTACACTGAGTTGGACAGCAGCCGACACTAGCAGGTCACTGCTACACACACTTCAGTCAGGTCTACTATGATCAACTATGGTGCCAGAATACAAAATGTACTTTTGAGAAGGAAGTCACTGCCGACTAAACTATGACAGCCAGTGGAAGGTATAGGAGTGTTGATGCTGACTGATGACAGAAGCCTTACTCTACTCAGCAGAGGTGGAGCAACTGTTGACAGACTAAAAAGTGTTCTTCCACTGCAGAGGGGCTTTCAGTGTAAGCGCACTCAAAACTCTGTTGGCAGAATTTAGTAGTGCAGACTATGTGTCACTTGCATTAGTTTATTTGGAAGGTTTGCTTGCAACCATAAAGATATTAAAAACATGTTTAAATGCAAACTGAATTCTGCTGCTGCACCACAGGAAAAATATTCCACTGATAATCTTACAGGGGAACCCCTTCTCCCCACCCCCAAAAACCCTCTGTGCCTGTGATTAAGCAACCTATAAGGAAAAATAAGGGACAGAAATCCTGGCAACTAACACCTTGATTTTTGTTTTATGAATATCTGCACTGGATACTGTCACTGCTCTAACTCTCCGTTTACATATAAAGATGACAAAAATATGTTGGTGGTACCTGTTGCTTCTTTAATACTTGCAAGTTTCCACATGGTGAGTTTTTCAGTGTGGTCAGGCTGGCTGGGATACCCAGGGGCTGGGCGGATTCCCTCATACCTGATCCTGCGCAGATCTGCAATATCCAGCTGTTCATCGTTGCAGTAAGCCCATAATTCTTTTCGGACCCTTTCATGGAGCTCCTCTGCAAACGCCTTGGGAAACAAGGCAACCTTTTTTTAATTTGCAGAAGCTATTAACAGCAACTTGCTCCAGGCTAACAAGAGCATGGTCTGTTTTTACTGCTTTAACTTGTAATGGAAGTTACTATGCTATCAAGCAGAGAGCTAAGCTGTAAATTGGACTGATGTAAATCTCATCTTTTCTTGTACAACCTGTAGCATCCAATTAGCCATGGCTGGACTCAGGACAAATTCCCAGTGGAGAGAAGGCCTTAGATTCAGTAGGTCAAATGGTACCCCTTCAGTATGCTCGTACAAGTACTAATATAAACGAAAGCCCTGCAAGTGTGCTGAATGGTGGAACTATTGAGTCCTGTGAGGGCACAAAAAAGATAGTCCGATTCAAAGTTCCTGATTCACAGATATTTTAAAAAGGTAAGGCAAGGAGTTTAAAAATTGTCAAACCAACCAAAATAGTTTTAAGATATGTGAACCTAAGAAGCCTTTGTGATGACAAGGTCTAGAAAGCTGTACTGTATCTCTAGTACTGCTGTCTATGTGGATTCTTCCCATGACATCCACGTTTTCAGATTTAATGCACAGCATAAACTGTAGGTCTTGTGACATTTGGCTTTACAGAAGAAGGTGAAGCATTCACTTGTCAAATGAGCTTCATACAAAGTGCACATATGATTTGTAATAAAATGTTACCTCTGCTAACCGGTCTCCCAGGGCTTTCACCATGATGCTGTTATAGTCATCACACTGTTTCTCAAACTCTTTGCATAGTTCATCTACCCCAAAACAGGCCACAGCAAACAGGCCTAAATAGTCATGAACTCCAGAATCCAAGGGGGCGATGAAGTCAGAGAGACAGTAATATGGATCTGTGCAGACAGAGTCCTTTTCTGCCTAAAGTAATAAAAATATTGAATAAGAAAAGAGAATTCCTTTTAAGTCAATTCTCCATCAAACACAAGAAATATGTCACTTTACATTCCTTAAACAGAAGGGAGATAATGTTTTAAACTGCAAGTACTTCTAGATACAAGATAATCCTCTCAGTTTTAGGAGAAAAGTATTATATTCCAGTCCTAGATGCCTGATGTCTTTCAGCTGTTTGAATCAGAGATAAAAAAAAAAAAAAAATCTCTTTTTCAGATCTGTGCTATGGATCCCAAATCAGATATTGGTATTCTCCTTCCAACACAGGAGTTTTGCTCATTGAGGAAGAACATAAAGCAGAGGAGAGAGATACTGTGCTGGGCAGATCTCAGGAGAATGTTGACCTCAACTTGAAACTAGCAATCATGAATACTTCCTATTGGGAATAAAAAGCTATAAAACAAGAACAATCCAGCCCCTGTGAGATGAGAGGGATAGGCTGATAGAGCTAGTCCATCTCTCACATGTAAGATTCTGTATGAGAGATGCTGACATGGGACCTACTCCAAAAGGGTGCTGACCATGCTTTTGAAACAATTCAAGCCTTAGTCACTGCAAAACATGTTCAAAATGAGTATACCATTATAAAATTCTTACAAAAACTTTAAAGTGTTCTTGAGGAAAGGAAACAGCATTGTACCTTTCCCAGAATACCAATAGAAAAACCAGGGAAAGAGGAAGAACACCAGAATAACAATCATCCCAAGGGCTACAAGAGGCACAAATTGCATACCAAGGCCTTCAATTAGCATATCATGCACAGCAAAGGAATTGGCTTGTAAATAGACACATGCATCTTGGAAATGTACTCAATTAAGGGAAGGAGTAATTTTATGTATACCAGTTTATAATCTCTGCCTCCAGTAGTCATTTCACAACAACATTTTCAAATTTTTAAGACCGCCTTTGCCTATTACTAATCTAAAACTAGAGTAAAATCAATGACAGCATATGGGGAAGAGCAAAACAGGTTATAAATGAAGTGCTGTCAAGGCACAAGATAAAATAAAATAAACAAAAATAATTTCTCCCCTTCCACACAAAAATATCAGATACACGCTTGATTTTCAGGTGGAAAGTGTCTATCAAGCTCCAATACAATGGAGAGAACCCTGTGTATTACCAGAAATGTTGAATGGAAGTCATGGGAGATAAGTATTCTGTTCTACTCTGCACTAACGAGACTTCAGCTGAAGCATGGTGTTCGTTCCAAATATTTAAGTTATGGAAAATATAAGTTTTTAATTTCAACTGACAAAATTTCTAGTACAATGCAGAATCCAGGGACCCCAATACAGACATTATATTTTAAAGATTCACAGCATCAGAATGCCTTAGGCTACATATTGAAGCATAAACAGAAAACAGCACCTCAAATCAGAAAAGATCAAATCTAAGGATAGGTCTGGAACAAAATTAAAAAAAAAACAACACAAAATAACTCTGTTTTACCATTTACAGATCTAATTATTAAAGCAAAGAATAAAAATAAAGGAAACAGAAGCATTAGGAAGCAATTACCCCATCAAATAATAGCAAACTTCATTTTCAACATGTCCTATCTACAACACAAATTAGTGCAACAAACTTTACATTTAGTCAGCACATACTTCATCTTCCTACCTGTTGTCTTAAGCCATAAAATTTAGCTATTGGTTCTGCAAACTGCACTGCCTCTTCTGATGCATATAAATAAACATCATCTTGAACACTTTGAGCAGGCCAGAACCCTACCAGGCCTCTGGCTCGTAATTTCTTTTGATTAATCAAAGTTTTTAGCAGATTCTGAGCATCATTATAGACTCTTTTGGCTTCTTCACCTACAGAAAAATAAACCCAAAACAAAAACAAGAACAAAAAACCCAACACAATTTAGGAGCGATATAGAATCACAGACCACAGGAAGGCATCTAGTCCAACCCCACCACTCAAAGCAGGACTGGCCCCAACTAGATCATCCTAGCCAGAGCTTAGACAGATTTTGAAAACCCCCAAAGATGGAGCTTCCATCACATCTCTGGGTAGCCTGTTCCAGTATTTTCCTACCCTCCAAGTGAGAAAATTCTTCCTAATATCTAACCTAAACTTCCCTTGTTGCAACTTGAGACCATTGCTCCTTGTTCTGTCATCTGCCACCACTGAGAACAATCCAGCTCTATCCTCTTTTGAAGCCCCCTTCAGGTAGTTGAAGGCTGCTATTAAGTCCCCTCTCAGTCTCCTCTTCCCTAGACTAAATAAGCCCAGGTGCCTCAGTCTTTCTTCATAAATCATGTCCCCCAGCCTCCTATACTTACTATAATTAAGTTATAGTACAACTTCATACTATACTTATAGTATGCTTACTATATAACTAAGTTATAGTACAACTTAAAGGCAGCTTCCAATCTCTTTTTCTGTTGATGAACATATTTTTGACAGAACTCTCCTCCTGTTATATTCGTCTATGTTGCTAACAAAAGGTGTCCAGTGTGGTGCATTTATTAGGGCTGTGCGAAGCTTCGGTCACTAATTTGATTCAGCAGAGATTCAGTCAAATCTGGTGGCCGAATCTCCGAATCGAATCAGGAGACCCTTTAATCTCTCCAAATCGAATCAAGAGAGATGCAAAAAGATTCGACAATTCGGACACAGACAGCTGTATACATTTTTCCTACATACCTCAAGGTACCAGGTGACTAGTGAATGCTTAGATGCTAGGGGCGTTGGGACCCACCCCTAGACGA